TGTGTGAGAGCGTGTGTGTGTGAGAGAGAGTGTGTGTGTGTGTGTGTGAGAGAGAGAGAGTGTTTGTGTGTGTGAGAGAGAGAGTGTGTGTGTGATTGAGAATGTGTCTATTAATTTCAACAATTGTTTCTAAATTCATGTGAAAATGTTGGTGTTTCTTTCTAGGAAAGGTGAAAAAGCTGCATGTCAGAATTGAGTTGAGTTTATTAAAGGGACAGGAATGTTAAACACGTACATTGTTGTCACACCATTTACATAGAACTATGAAATATTAAACTTTTACATGTGTGTGTTAAATAAGGCACAAGGCAACATGAAAGAAAGCATTCTGTACAAACGTTCTTGTAATGCAAGAAAACATCTTTCTATAACTCATGACATTCAGTATATACAATCATATTTTACAAGGACGTATTTCTACAGCGTGAAAACCTGGCCGTCATTTCTGTTTGTCTTCTGGAGAGCGTGAGGAAAAAGCTTTGTTTGTTAATGTTGGGTGGGTCAAAGTTCATTGAATGGTTTAGGTGTGTCTGGATGAATGTTGAGAGTTAGAGTTGCAGATTGAACAGTGTTTATGGTTTGTTGATGTTGGATGGAGTGACGGTCAGAGTTTATCTGAAGGTGTGTGACCCGTGATGGCCTGCAGGGCGAGCGGCTTGAGTGAACTTTCACAGAAAGCAGGATAAAGCCGCTCTTTCTCCCCAGACTCTCGGGACGGACTGACTTTCGGCTCACAGTTTGATGTCCTGAGACTCGGACATCTTGGCGAGCGTCTTCTTCACCCGCAGGGCGGTCAGACGGGACGCGGGATTGTGAGCCCAGCATTCGGTCATCAGTTTGCCCATCAGCCGTAGACACTGGACAGACACAAACACACAGGTCAGCTTCATACAGATGTCAATGCATTTGAACTGATTCAAGGGTGAGATTAAAGAAACCACTGCAGCAGAGCAGAATAAAAGAGTGGCTGGTGGAAGAGTCAGTTCAAAAGCCTTGTTCAGAGTGACTAAGTCCAAATCCGGGTTTAGTGCTTATGTGATTGGAATGATTGACTGTCTGCTAGTGTGAATTTGGTGAAGGAAAAGTATGAGGAAAAATGTTTGTTCCCATGACTAAGACGAGACGACAATAAGGTCAATAAAGGTCAACTGTGACCATATCAACATGCAATATCGGTGAGGATAAATGACGAGACTAAAAGGTATTGGAAAAAATATAAACTTTACCAAAATGTCTGGTAATTTTTGTTGAAAAAATGAGACACAACATTATTGGGGACTGCTGTGCACGCCTCTACTGCAGCTTTCATGTGTGCGGTTGCCAGATATCACGAGTGCAAATCAGAGCTTCACTGTTAACCCCTTAACGGTCATCCCCCATTTTTTGAAGTAGGCATGAAAGTGCACTATCCAAACTGAAATTGTGGTAATTTAGGAACACTTTGGAATACAAACCTAAGGTTGGTCTCTTTGCAAAGAGCAAAAAAACAGAAAATGATTACAAAAGTGGATTTTGTTAAAAAAATTAAAGTATGAAAATGTAATAGAAGTTTAAATGTACTGTAAAGAAAATGCACTATACTAATGTTATTTTATTTTGTATATATATATAGTAAATATTTTACATAACAGGTTTTACTGTAAAACTGGTATAAAATTAAAGCCTTATGTCTAAAGTTATGTTCCAAATTTGAAGTTGATATGATAAAAATTGAGATTCCTGTGCGATTTTATTTAAGGCGTCATACCACAAACAGCCACCGGGTCCCAGCCAAACACCATTGAAATTGTTTGAATGCATTTTTCTGTCACAAATGTCTAGATTTCTCGATAGAGTTGTATTAGGGGGGAAAAAACACCAACTGTGGAATCGTGAGACTCAGACCTTTCCAATGATATGTTTTTTGTCAAGATTATGAAAAGGTTTGATTCTAAAAGACCGTAATGCATTTTGTAATATGACACTTGACACTAAGGCGGAGGAGACGGCCAAAAGATTTTAAAGTACCATTTCCATGGTAACGCAATGTCCGATTTCAAAATGGTT